ACTCACCAAAACCAAATCTAAAATGGCATCCCCTCTTGTCGGTTCAGCAACTACTTGGTGAAGGAATCCATCAGCTATCACAGCCAGGAAAATCTGAGCCCTATTATTACTACTAGCACTTGTCCTCCAGTCTATATCTGGGAAGTTAAAGTCTCCCATGATCACACAATTCCCATTAGTATTTATTTCATTAAAAACATTAAAGAGGTCTCTATCCATATCCAAATTGGATCCCGGCGGTCTATAGCACACCCCAAGCACTATCCCAGGAAGGCTCTAGTAGCTTATATTTAAAAGAAATCAAGAGTAATCCTAATCTGAAACATTGTTCTTTCAAGTAATTTCTGCTTAGCTTTTCGGGCTCTATACCATGGAGTTAGAGACTGAGAAAACTCGATTGTGTGGCAGGTTTCAGAAGTAACTTATGTGATGTGAATTATATTAAAAAATGGCAAACCATTTTTTTTAAGTATAAAGTAGTAGAAATCAATGAGAATTGTGGCTTTTTGCCATCATGGTAAATGCTGTTGCCGCATGTATGCACAGTGAGCAGGTAAAATATGTGGTCGTATCTGCATTACAATAAAGGGAAAACCAACCTGCACTATGCCTTGCTTTAGCAGTGCCACAGGTCCCTCATTTTCATGAGCACTGAAATATTCACCAAGCTTAAATAAAAATAGATTTAAGGGACATCATCAATTTAAAAATGTAATTTCTTTCTGAATATTTTACTTGTTACAAGAATCATTGAAGATTGATGTCATTGAAAGGCAGTAGAAGAAAATATGTTTTGTGCATTTGACAAAATAGTTACATTGTTTAACAATTTTCCCTGTAAAGTTGATCAGTTTCCACTTTGGTTTGTTAGGCTATTTTACATTTTTTTAAAGAAGTAACATGTAGAGTGGGGCTCAGGGGCAGGTAGACAATAATACCTGAAAGTACTTTTAGCTAATTTAAAAAAAAAAAACAAAAAAAAACCTGACTAGCACTCAAGTTGATAGCATCTCTTCAAGAATTTAATTTTTGAAAATGCAATGATTTAAAAAATCCATATTAACTGAAAAAAATAAACTAAATGCTCAAAACTTCATTAGCCCGGAGTTGTTTGCCTTCACTTGTCTTGTGCCCTTTCAGAATGTGGAGTGTGGCTAACTTAAACATCTGAAAACCCAGAGTGCAGGGATAAGGATATATTCCATCCCAACAATACAACCTTAACTGTACTTTCACTGGAGCTGGAAGTAGGGTAGTGCAAAGGTTAATAAACTGTCAATGGAAGTGGAGGATTCTCCATCTTTTGATGTCTTCAAATCAAGCCTGGATTATTTTCTGGAATATGGTTTAGTCAAATACAAGGCATTAGACTCAATGCAGCAGTAACTGGATGAAATTCTCTGGCCTGTCTCATACTGGAAGTCAGAATCTATGTTCTAATGGTCTTTTCTGGCCTTAAAATCTCTGAATCTACAGTAAGTAGATCTGAGAAAGGACTAAGCATGTCCTATTATTTGTGTTAAGTTCCACAGATTTGACTTCTGACATTTATCTGCATGGACTCCAGCTATATTCACTGTGTTAGGTGTACTTGTTTTGAATGATGGAGGAATTAATTGGAACAACTTGGTAGAGCTGTGACTGTGATATAAAGAGCGGTGCAGGTGTACCTTGAGGGATCAAGTATGCTTCATTTCAGCATTGAATTTTGTAGATTGTCAGTAGAGTTTCGCCAGTTACCTTGTCATGAAGATTATCAGCGGTGTAATGTCATACATGACAGTGGTGTCCGGGGCTTTGTGAGGGATAAGTGAAGGTAATGTCTCAGAAATCCTCAGGACAAGGATGAAAGTGTGGTAACATTTTTGCAAATCTGGGGTGGTTTGTGTGGAGTAAACTCAGTGTTTGACTGTAGACCACGGGGAGGTAGGTAGTTTCCTATACCTGACGTAAACCCAAGGTTTGCCTTGGAAAAGAGAAGGTACTAGACTTTATCCTACTGTGCTGGTATACTGTTCCCAAGTGTTCTGTAGCATCTATGGTGTGAATGTATGTAATTGGTATGCTGGGGAATTGCTCTAAAAGAGCAGAGTTAAGCTTGCATTGCAGGGGTCGCATGTACCTTAACTTCGTATTTCCAGGTTTTCAGAGGTTTAAGTTTAGCCATTCTCCACATTTTGGAAGGGCACAAAGCGTGACTGGGTAACATTAACTCTGCCTTAATGAAGTTTTGGCAAAATTAATTTCCTTTTGAGTTTAAAAAAAAAATAATAATAATTTCTCAGTGTGCTTATGTACCACAGCCCAGCTCTCCACCTCCATTGCCTCTGTCTCCTTGGCAATGATTACCCCAGCCACAGAATACACTGGCCGCATGTTAGTGTCTTCAGTGCCCCTACATCATCTCCCCATCTCTCTGCCTGCCTGGCACAGCTTGGTTCTCTCTCCTCAGCCCTCCTGTCCACGGAGAAGCAGGCATTAGCATGGGACCTGCAGTTTGAGAAACTGGGGAAGAGATGCAGCAACGGTGCAAGGACTAACGTAGAGTCGGGAGAGGGGGGCATTTTTTTGAAGGGCGGGGTGAGGTCATCAGAGGAAGGATGATCCAGTGGTTAGGACTGGGGATTTGGGAGACGTAGTTTCAATTCCCTGCTTCGCCATAGACTTCCTGTGTGACCTTTGTCAAGTCACTTAGTGTCTCTGAGTCTCGGTTTCCTAACTGTAAAATGGGAATGATAGCACTTCCTTACTTCACAGAGGTGTTGTGAATGTAAATACGTTAAAGATTGAGGCACACGGATACTACAGTGATAGGGGCCGTGTAAGTACCTATAATTGATGTTAATATTGATGGTTGGGGGCGGGGAGGGGAAAAGCTGAAGCCACTCCAGTATCACCTGCTGCACACCTCTGACCCCCCTTTCACTCCACTCTTTCCTGCACTATTCCAACCCCCCCTCACTGCTCCAACCCCCATATTCCTCCAAGCTGCTCAGACTCTCCTATTACTGCTCTGACACTGCTCTGTCTCCTCCAACATTCCCTCCATATGCCTGCTGCTTTGAGCCCTTTCCACACATTTACCAGCTGCACCCATCTCCTTGGCACTCCATGCCCCTGGTGATCTTGGAGGGGCTATAGGTAGGTGGGAAGGTGATGGGGCTATGAGGATTCCATGTATCGGCTGAAACCAGGAAGAGGCAGGTGGGTGGAGAAAAAGTCCCTACCCCAAATCTCGCCCTAGTGTATGGGGAAGAGGCTCTAGACATCCATCTTCAGCAGAAGATCCAGATCTTGTCTCACACATGGTGAGGCAAGGGCTCAGACTTCCCCGTGAAGGGCAGGAACCCCCCAGATCCTGGCTTACATGCAGAGTGGGAAGGACAGGGGCCAAGACCCCCTCTGAGAGGCAGAAGCCCCCGGCTCCTTGAGCTCACCTTCTAGCCCCCAGCTGTGGGACTGTGAATGGGAGGCATCTTCCCCCATCCCCACCTTTCTGCTGCCACTACCTGACCCGGGCAGGGCTAGGGGAGGGGAGAATGTGGGGAAAACCAGTATTTGAATTATCCTTGGCGTGTTTGGCCCCTCGGTAGCTGTGCCAGAATACAGCCCTAAGCTGAAAAGAGCCCCTATCCCAACCTCACAATTCCTGCACTGCTCTAACCCCTCCCCCCATATTCCTTCACTGCTCTGACGCCTCCCACACACACACACATTCCCCAGCTGTGTCTCAACAAAGTAATAAGAATTTGAAAAAATTGTGAAAAGCTCCTGAGAGTGAGTTGTGTAGTAGGTACCGCTTGACCAATGACACACTGACTTGCTATCCTTTTGATCACGCTCAGTTACGTTGGTCAGGAAACAAAGACTGACTTGTAATTTAGTTACTCTGTCTAGTGGTCTCTCATCTTCTCTCTATTTAATTAATGGTAATTTCCTGGACAATACTTCTAAAGTAAAATCAGAATCTGCGTGTGGATTTTAGAGCAATTTAAAATATTGCTCTTAAACCAGAAACATTGGTCTTGGTAGAACTTCCAAAAGCAGCCCTGCAGAATGCAGGCAAAGAGCAAGGATGTGCACAACGCACCTTCTCTGAAAGCTGCCAAGGGTAGGGATAGAACTCAAAATGGATGAGTACAATGAACACAACATGTTTCCTGAAGCCATCTAGTTATTGTGACAACAGCCTGCCTCGCACTCTTTGGCTCATCAATTTTGGCAAAAGCCATGCTGGAGATCTAAACTCTGTCAATAACTTTTTCAGTATTGTATTGAGTGGGTGTCATGTGCTAGCTAAATTAAATGTTGAATGAATGAGATCCGTTTTGGGACTGTTGGAGCCATAATCTGAGCTCCAGGTGTGTGCAAAAAAATAAGATTTTGTAAAAAGCTGAGGGACTGTATCTTGGGAGGACTCACCTTGCTCAAATGACCCCTTTATGGATTATTAACCCTACTCTACAGGACCATGTGGCACAGCAAAGACAATCCAAGTAGGCATGTGGATTTTAGAGCATTCACAGTGGTCAACCCTTAAACAAAAAGCCATGTTCAACCTTAACCATATTTCAACCTTAGCTATGGCAGAAAACCAACTCTTCTGTAATTGCAAAACCAGAGGTTACTGTGCTCAAAGACAATAAATGTTTATAATACTCCTTTTGTGTCAAAAGTGTATCTTGACTTTTTGATGACTGTAGGGTTCTTCACAGTATCTTCACTTTTACTGGCTCATAGTGTTGTTACTTAATTATTGCGGATATTCTTTAGCAGTAGTGTGTGTGTATGTATTTTTAGTTAACTTTTTCTGACCACTTGATGGTAGAATATTATATCCAGCATTAACAAGAACAGATGTGTATCTGTTTTAAAAAAAATCAACTGATATTTTAGTGATAACGATAGTTTTACATGCTGTGAAAATGACTTTCCATATAATTACATTCACTTCAGTCAAATTCAAAGTTTTAACTGTACTTTAAAACTTTTTGCCACAGCGTTTTACCAACGAGGATCATTTGGCTGTCCATAAACATAAACATGAGATGACACTGAAATTTGGTCCAGCTCGTAATGACAGTGTCATTGTGGCTGGTTAGTATATACTTTTATTAAGTTATCCATCTTTCTCCTGGAATGTGCACAAATTTTGTGGGGTTTTGTACATGATATAACTTCTGTAGACTGGTGAAAGAAAATACCAAAGAATTCCTGTATGGTGAAGGTTTGCAACATGTATTCATTATCCATTACATTTCTATCTAAATCACCTCTCTTCACGTGGTATATAATAAATACAAGATTGTCAATATTGCAGTAGTTGACTAACCTATGTAAGCATTCATATATAAAAAAGCACATGCTGTATAACCTTTTATGTCTAACTTCATCTGACACTTAAACGCTTCCCCAAGGTCTTGGTTGCCCTTATAGTTTACACGTATGTTGAAATAGTTTTTTTCCTAAAAATACTACACATTTTACAGACTTCAGTTGTCTCAAGAAAATCAGTCAATAGTATTGTAAATATTTTAAAATAAATAGGTTGTTATAAAGAAGACAAGTCTTTTAATTTTGTCTATGTCAAAACTACTTATTTGCAATATCTGAAATCAAACTTTAACCCCTGAATCCCTTTGCCTTTCTTGGTCAGTCAGAATCTTATTTTTCTTATTATTGTTTTATTTCTTAAAAAAAAAAAAAAAAACTCCTCTCTAAATTTATTAAGTCTATGGCTCTTATAGACACAGACCAATCATGAATGGACTATTAGACTGTAAATATTGCTAAGTAAGCTCCTCTTGAACTTCTTGGGGATAGTGCATATACTATCCCCAAGATATAGTCAAAACATTTTCCAGTGGTGGAGCAGTCTAATTTAATTGTACAAATGCACTAGCCCCTCTTTCCAACCTTCCGTTATTCCAAGTTGCTAATTTATTAGGAGAGGCAGACAAATGGAATTCTACAGTTAAAAAAACTGGCAGACTTTTAAATACCATAAATGCTCTCTGCAGTGTGTGCAGTTTGCGGGGGAGATCTATCAGGCAGTCAGGTGAGTGGCAGGTGAAACAATAGGAGAGTTCTTTATCTGCCTTCCCAAGCGTGCTACAGTACTTCCATGATCTTTCCCCACTATCATACATGATCTTCCCTTGAAATTAGTGAAACCTTGTGTAATGTTATCTCCTATATTTATAATACATACTGTACAGTATAACAGCTTACTTTCACCTGACAGTGCATAAATTCTAAGTGAAATAAATGGGAGTTTCCATACTATCCAAAATATAAATTTTAAATGAGTACAGAAGTCATTCACACAATAGTCAATGGAAGTACTGTGATTTTAGTTTTACTATGCAAACATCTTTTAAATCAAAAAAGTTTGGGATACTATCTTCACCACACTTATAAATGACACAGCATATGAATAACAAAAGCAGTAGTCCCTATTGTTGTTCACAATAAAAGAAGAAATACAAAACAGGTCCACGAGTCCATCAATGCCACTTTCCCTTGGGTTTGAATTGTGGGGGGCCCTCACACAACAGCAACTCTTATTGCTGTTTGAAAATAAAGCTTCTTTCTTAAAATGATCCTCTCTGCTAATCCAGGCACTTAAGAGTTGTTCCTTCAGCCAACAGATGGAGACAGAACTCAGACTTTTGATTACATCTTCCCCTGTATCTATACCATGAGGGACTGGTCTACAAACCTCAGTTGTGTCTCTCCAGCAGGTGGAGCAACAGTACCACTTCTGGCTGGCCTGAATGAAAGAGGAAAAGAAGCATGCCTTGGAGGCCTAGGAAACTTTTTGGCCACTTGCCATATCTCCCTTTCCAATCTTATCCCTGGGGTTTTGAATGAGAGAGTCTTCCTAATTACCAAAACTACAAGTGAATGCCACCTTCCAAAAGTTAACAGTTATTAATGTAAATACCATATTTTTATCTGATTTTCTTTATGTATGTAACCATTCAAGCCTCCATTGTAGCCTGCTACTTATAAGTGTGTATATGAAAGTGGAAAGTGACAAGGTAAGAGGGAACTCCACTCAACAGAAGAGAAGTCTAATTAAAGGCTTCCCTCTGACAGCAATCTCTGCTGACCCACTGGTGTGTATTGTTGGGTTTTACACCTATTAATTTGTACCAGGGCATAGCAAAGTGTGCCCTCATCAAAGTGGGAACTAGCATTCGTCCATATTGTTTATTTATAGTGTATTATTAAAATAACGTTAAAAATCCAAGAAAATTGGCCCATGTATCTGATGTGTCTATTTTTAATCATTTAACTATTTTCAGATCTAACTACTCTCTCCAGAATAGGTGGAAGCAAAACCCACATTATGAAATAACTGACAGCTAAGTTGTTTAATAAACAATTTTAAGAAAAGCTAGCACAGAAATATTCCAAAATGCCCAAAATATTATTTTTACACACACAGTAAAAATATATAAAGTATTTTGAATTAAATTGCCAGAAAGTTTTGAAGAGTTATATGCCTGCTTTAATTGAAAAATTATTTAAAACAAATGAGTTTGTAACCTTAGCAATAGTGGTTTTAGGTAGAATGGGCTGCAAGTCTTTATAATTAAAAGGAAAAGTTGCATCTTAAATTTTGTTTTTAAATAATATTAAAGAAGAGCCCTTAAACTGTAGCACAAACTTTATTTTAACTAGGTGGTGGTTTGCTTTAGTGTTATTTTTAGGATAAATAACCAAAGTAATTAAAACTTGGGCATTGGTGGTATTTTCATATTTTTATTTTGAAGATCGTAAGAACATGTTCTTACTAAATGGTATTTTGGAAAAAAATGTTTAGTTTCATTTCATTTCAGATCAGACACCAACACCAACTAGATTCTTGAAGAACTGTGAAGAAGTGGGTTTGTTCAATGAATTAGCAAGTCCTTTTGAAAATGAATTCAAAAAGGCTTCAGAAGATGACATTAAAAAAGTATGTTGGCAATATTGGGCTTAGAAGTTACTGTATACAATATTTTTGTTTTGGTCTGGAAGTATTTAGTGTACTGAGAGATTTGTTTGTTTTGATAAAGCAGAGGAACCGTGTTATACTGGGATGTATGCTTTAAAAAAATCAGTGTTCTCATTATTTTGTTTTTCAACTTTGAAATGCATCAGTCATCAACATAGAAGTGTAGGTATATGTTGTATGGAGAAAATACAAATTTAGACCCCAATCCTGCAAAGACTAACACACCTGTTTGTTTCGTTTTATACAATGTGGCTTTAATTGGCTTTACTGTTGTCTTTTAATTATTTAAAGGCCCGATCCACAGTTTATTAAAGTGAATGGGCACCTTTCCATTGATTCCAGTGGGCTTTTTATGAGGCCCTAAATGAGTAAATGGTTCTAAAAAGAACCCAGTTCTTACAAGGAGAAAAAATATATAAATAAAAATTAGGTGGAAGGAATAACTTCAATTGTTTTGCAGGTATACAGATTAGACAACACTTTAACAATGTACACATTACTAATATTCAGTTGTTAAAATAATGAGTTAAACAGTGGTAATCAAATTCAGCAGCTAAAAGTGAAGTATGGTTTGAGAACAGATTTTACTATTTTAACTTCAGTTAAACTGACATTTAAATCTCTTTGACAGACAAATCCCACGTGAAAGACAAATGTTGATAACAACCAAAACCACCACACTTGTTCTTATTGTACAGATTAAATTTTTGTGTAAATTTGAATTGAATCCATTCCTAGTGAACTTTATTTAAATACATTTAGATGTGATGTCTTTCATTTTAATTCCTTCCCATGTATAAATGCTTAGGGCCCAAACCTGCAAGCACTTGTCAATGTGAAAAACTTTACTCATATAAATATAGTTATTCAAATGTACAAAGGTATGCAGGATCACATCTTTAGTTTTTTGTTCCTGTGGAGATAGCAGAGGCATTAGGAATATAATAGAACCTTACCGAGCCCTAAAAAAATCTGTCACCTGCCATTTTCTGTGAGCCCAACACAGCTCCAAATGATGGCTCCCGCTAATAGATTTCTTGCACCATTATATGTAGCACTATTGAGCCTGTGAGTACTTGCAGGAGGTTTCCAGAGCGCTCACTGTCATCTCAGGAAGCTACAAGGATCAAAGAATTTTTAAAACTTCTTTGCAGTTTCTTCAACACTGCTCTTCATCCTCCCAGCTGACCTTCATGTCTTAGGGAGGGATATTGTACTGTGATCTCCCTGAGTGACTCCTAAGGGCAGTGATCAAAGGAGAATGGGGTTAATAGGGAGTATCATGTGGGAGGAGTTATCTAACTGCATTTTCTGGTTTTCAGAGGTTTTAGTTTCTGGCTTTTAACTTCCATGTTCTGGAAGAGTATAGGGAGAAGGGGCACTCCTAAACAATTTTCTCTCTTTAATGAAGTTTGGTTGTCTCTTAAAAGAACCAGATAGATTTTTACCTTTCATTATACTCTTTCTCGAGAGAATTATTTTCCTCTAAGGTATTTTGGCAGATGGGCTAGTTTGCAATATGAGTCAGTGGCTAAATACTCTGGACTTTCTTTTTCTTTAACCAGTATCAGTGATACTGGTTAAAAGATATTTTTCTTAAAGGAATTCCAGATGTAGTCCTCATGCCTTTAAAAGTTGTTCTGTCAGATTTTAACAATGTGAAGCCATTTGAGCAATTAAATATATTTTTCCCATTCTCTTTTTAAACAATTTTATCTCTTTCAATAATTATTCAATATATTTGTTTGATAACGTTTTGTCCCTTGTAGCGTTTGGAACTTAAGGTTTTGATGTCACACTTGTGATTCTAATCATTTGCTTGGTAACAATAAAATTTAATAAGCATTGCAATGTAACTTCATGATGTGAGTTCAAAATAAAGTAGAAGTTAGGTTGTGATGGAGGGCAGTTATTCAGAACAAATCTGCAATCACACAAAAGAAGACAGAAAATTACTGGGAAAGAAAAATGAGTCTTGTGTGTTTTTTGGGTTTGTTTGTTTTTTTAAGTTTTGCCCTAGGTTGAGATTTCCTCCTTAGGCTTCCATATATTTTGAGACTTAAAGTGCTTTCAAAGTTTAAACTTTATTCTTAGCAATATAATTTAAAATTTTAGTATGTTATGTGGTAAAGTGGTATTGGTGATTTTGAGAGTTCTCCGTTACAAGCTACTTATGATTGAATTGAAAATGTAATCAGTTACAGACAAGGAGCCCAATACAGTGTGATTACATGGTCACATAAATGGTCACATAATTGTCCTCATTCTCAAGTTGTTAGAATCAGTATGGCCAGCTGTAGCATTCAGAGTATAGAAGAGAGCAGGCCATGCAGAAGCCCAAAGGACTGAAGATAATACAAGGCAGGGACAAGGGGCTTTCTGGAGAATATGGCTATCTTGTGAAGCAGAATACCTTAGGCTCCATTCCCAGCTGTTAACTTCCTAAGGTTTTCAGGAAAGGAACACTTCTCCTACAGAACTTACAGGGATTGGCCTGTACTTTGGCTGGCTTGAGGACTTGAAAGGAGAGGAACCAGACATCTGCCCAAGGGACTGAAGGTCATGTAGAAGTGGGAATGAGGGGTAGCTTAATGAGCTGGCTCTGCTTTAGATGGCCTGTGCTCCTTGAGAACAGAGCCTCTACTCCATAGGGCTGATACTTTCCCCAGCTGCTTATTTTGTTTTTACATATTATAATTTGAGTGGCTAACAGGTTTATTTGCATGTTTACTCTTTTAGATGCCTCTAGATCTATCTCCTCTTGCAACACCAATCATAAGAAATAAAACTGAAGAGCCTTCAGTTGTGGAGACAACTCATCAGGATAGTCCTTTACCTCATCCAGAGTCTACTACCAGTGATGAAAAGGTCAGGAACTTATTTTTCTGGATTCAAAACATTTTTATAAAGAACATTCACAGCAATGTATTTAGTTTAGTATATATTTACTAGAACTACTTTGGTGACCTAATTGTTGATTGTACAGTGATGGCAGTCATACTGTAAAAGATTCAAAACCTTCAACCCTTCAGGTAAATTTTGTTTAAAATAAACATTCTTTATTCTTCCCACTGGTCCTCCAACAAATTTAGGAGAGAACAGATTTTTCCTGATATTTCTTCTTCTTGTCTTAGTCTCGTCTACATGGGTTCGGCTCTTTGAGTCCTTCTCCATTCCAGCCTTATAACTCCAAGCATTCATCTTAACACTAATTTCCACTGTATTCAAGAACTGCTCCTGGCTCTTCCTCAGGGTCCAGCTCTCAGAATCATACAAAAGTGCTGGCCCAATTACCATCTTGTAGATCTTACTTTTCAGTTTGATAGGTATTCTCTTATACAGATCACTTCACTCACTTTTCTTCATTTAGTCCGTGACTTTCCTGTTCTGTTTATAAGAAAAACAACTTTTTTAAAAAAGAGCATCTTTATACATCATAAATGGGGCTGCAGATTTGTCACATCTTTTTTTATCAAAAAATCATGGCGCGATATTGGTAAAGTTAGTAAAAGTCACAGGTTTTTGTGATGTTGTTGTTATTGATAAATGCCTTGACAAATGAGGGGGCACTGATCACCTGCACCAGCACCGTCCCAGCGCACAACCCTAATCCTGGCCTAGATAATGTGATTGTGACTGTACAGATGACCACATAGTTTACCTTTTTTTGTTTGTTTTGCCAGGATACCATATAAATTCACAAAATATCCATTTTCCTGCTATCAGCCTGACATTTTGCCTGCCTTCTTAGGTTCTGCTTGCTTTTTAGTCCCCGTCTTTCCCAAAGGGGAAACAAATGTGTTTCTTTGCTGGCTATTGTACTTCTGGTATTAAAAGGACAGAGTGGGAGGCAGGGAGAAGGGATATCTTTTATGATTCAGTGCATCAAGGATGAGAGTGTGACCTGAGCCACCAGACCTTTTCTTGCAGCCGAACGGGCAAAGCAGCTGAAGCAGTTGCATTATCTTGGGTAAAGAAGACTTACAGGAGGAATTTGCTGCCATCTGGTGCTTGTAAACTGCTCAGGATCACAGCTCCACTCTTGCAGCACTTATGAGCTCTTCATGGCAGCCACATTCTCCTTCTGCACAGCTCCTAAACTTAATCTGCGCAAGGTTACCCTTTAGGAGATCTACACAGCAGATTTCTTCCGCTGCAATCCTCCCCTGGTTTCCCACAATGAAATGCTTCACGCCTTTGTTCAAAATCTGGGAGAACTGATGAGCCATGCAACAAATGTAGGTTGTGTTTGGCTCTTTGGTGAGGAGCAAGTTTCAAAGCTAAATGTCTCTTTTATTGAAAAAGCCCTGCTGCCAATCCACTCCTATTTAAACTAGAAATGCTCCCAGTTTGACCACTTCTGAATTCAAAAGGCACCATAGAAAGAGAAGCAGTCTTTAGGCAGCTAGGTCCCTAACTATTCAGGGCATTATCAGTCCAAATCTACAACATAAGCTTCATTCAGAAATCAAATGGAAGCCAGTGCAGCCTATAGGGCACAGGTATAATATGTTCCCTAAGTGAAATACCATTTAATAAGTGGACAGCTGAAATCTGTACTAATTGAAGGGTTTTTTTCATAATTTTAAAGTGTAGTCCTGAGTACAGCAGCAATCAAATCTGATAAAGGCGTAAGTAACTGGAAAGGCCTGCATCCAAAAGGAAAGATAAAAGCCAAGTCCAGATAAAGTGCTCTGCTGCTGCTACCTGCATGTACCTCCAAGAGCAATAGAGGATCTAATAAGGAACAAACAGTGGGCATGCTTCCTCGATCGGTGGAGATAATCTCTTTCTCCAACCCACAAATATCACTTTTATCTGATCTTGATTTGAGTCGCAGCTAACGGGTTTTCATCTTAGCCCTGTCCTGGTTTGGTTAACTGCTCAGCTGCCCTGTCCAGAGAATGCATTTATTATGTGTTTTCATTTTATGGAGTATTTATATTCTATTTCAGTACAATTAAAGGTTATTGAATTTAATAATAACAAGCATTACCATATAATTTCCAGTTTGCTGCATCATGCAGTGCTCTCTCATTAATTTTGGTTGGGGGCTAGTTGCCGTGTACAGTAGGTAAAGTTTATAGCACAGTATACAGGGTCCCATATTAAAGGTAATGCCTTGTTTCATTAACTTCTGTGAGAGGCTTTGGGATCTTCAGATGGAAGGTATGTATAGACATGCTAAATACTTGTTTAATATTTTTGTTGAATCCTAATTGATTGCCATTCTCAGGATTATGACAGTCACATCCTCAGGCAGTTCTGTTACTTGCCTGGTTTACAAGCACAGTGATCTATCTTCTGTGCTCAAATCTTTCTTTAAGATTCAATCAAGATGTAGGTGAGGGTATTTCTAAGCATCTTGAAAGACTGAAAGAACTGTAGAATCCTGTGAGTATTTTTCACAAGATAGGGTCCTAGTTAAATAAGAGAAATTACTTTTTAAAAGGAGTAATAAATGTACATAGTTTTTTGGTTCTTACTGATTCCAATGGCCCTTTTGTTTCAGCTGTTATATAAACCTAAAAGAAATATTCATTTATATTTCTCTTTGCTGTATGTCAGGGCATACTGAAAAGCTCTGTTTACCAAGAACTGATGCAACCGGTAGCATAATTCTCATTGTCAATTCCTTTCCCCTGTATCTATTGGACTTATTAATATAAACCCTGACAGCATATTGGAGCAGTATGTCTCATAGCTCAGCAAACTGGTCTTGAATTTGTCCTAAAATTGTGATGAACAGATACATTTCTTGATTTTGTTTGTCACAGCCTTAATTATTGAGCCTATATTTTTGGTGAACTTATTCAGTTTTTTAAAACAGCATAATTCATTCCACTCCAGCAGTCTGTAAGTTGGTTAAATGTTACAAAGATTGCTGATTTTTTTTTCCTCTTTAATCTATGTTCACTGCATAATCTTTATTGATGGTCTGTAATTTCAATGGTTAATTTTCATTTTTCCCATAGGAAGTGTCACTTCAGCAGACTGCACAGCCTACATCAACAATAGTTCGTCCAGCATCACTGCAGGTTCCTAATGTATTGCTAACAAGTTCTGACTCAAGTGTTATTATTCAGCAGGCAATACCTTCACCAACTTCTAGCACTGTCATTACCCAGGCTCCATCCTCCAACAGGCCAATAGTGTAAGTTATGTGACAGTAAAATATTTTATTACAGATTTCTAAAAAGATTTTGTCTAGTTTACAAAGTACTTTTGATCACTTTTTTTCTGCAATTTAATAAACAATGCGGTCTCCAGCTCCATATTCTCCAACAGTACAGTGAGTTTACATTATAACTATGTGACACAGTTATGTCAAACAGAATTACTGTTAAATGTACAGAATGTGAATATTATTGATATATTGTTAAAATGGCAAATAGTTTAAGCTGCATTAAGTTTGGACAGGGTTACACCAAATTAATAATGTATCAAACTTTGTAATAAGAAACGTAAATATCTTTCAATTCTGCTGTGTATTTGTGTCCTTTTAAAATATTTCCTCCTCTTTGTTTTTCTTAGACCAGTACCAGGTCCTTTCCCTCTGCTGTTACATCTTCCTAATGGACAAACTATGCCTGTTGCTATTCCTGCCTCAATCACAAATTCTAATGTTCATGTCCCTGCTGCAGTTCCAGTAAGTTTACACATGACCTATTATACAGTGTTAATTTTAAAATAATGCAGACTTGCATAAATTTTTTTTTTTTTTTTTTTTAATTTCAAACACTGACATTTTAAAAAAGATTTTTGGACTTGATTTACTATGGTGTGATACATATTTTTGGCAACTATTGTAATTTGTGCTCTGAATACTCATTAGAATAGTATATCTTTATCATTCCAAATATTACTTAAATGGTTAGAAATACTTTAATTACTCTGAAAGGGTAAAAAGCTACTGATATACCTTAAGCCTTAGAACTTTGTTTTACAGATTTTGGTAGCTGTTTTGATTCTAGTGGGCAATGCAATCATATAATTTGTATTATGCTAGAATACTCAAAGATTGTTTTTCATTTTTACGACTTTCCTGGTCAGCTTGTTAGACCTGTCACCATGGTGCCTAGTATCCCAGGAATCCCAGGGCCCTCCTCCCCACAGCCAGTGCAGTCAGAGGCAAAATTGGTAAGTTAGAATTCCATTGATCTTCAAGAAGGTTAATCTGAAAAAATGTTATGTCATAAATAATTAGGTCTTACTACAGATGTAGTTGTTTGACTTAGTAATTGTTACCGTGCAGTATAAATTTTATTTTCTACGGACCTTGATCTTACAGAAGGCAAGCTCTGTGCTGGAATCTCAATGCTAGAAAATGAGAGCTAGCAATATGTTTTGGTTTTATGGTAATTTCAGGTTCTTGTATGATTGTTAGCACCAGGACTAAAACACATTTATGAATTTAGCAGCGCCAGTGAAATGTACTCTGAAGAAGACCAGTTTTTTAACTGTAAGCTCAGTCTCGCTCCTCATGGTGAAGGGTAGGCGTATATGTGGCTTTAGGAGAGGGAGGAGACACAAGCTTAATATCACTTCAGCAGTGAACCTTGCCTGCTAATAGAAGCAAAATTGAAGAACTACAGAGGTAAGCCCATACCAAGATGGTGTGAAGCTTCTTAGCAGAAAAGACTATAGGAATAAAAACCAGGCTTTACCTAACAACGCACATCTTAATATTCCCAGCTGCTTATGGTCTCTTCTTCCAGGCATGTAACCTGATAGGGTTTAGTGACCAGTGTCACTAAAGAGACATTGGTATGATAACCAAAAAGGGTAAAGAAAAGAATCAGTTATATAAATGTACATTAGCAGGATCATAATAATTATAGTTTTAAACTTTAATTAATCACTTCCAATAAAAATGTGTATATTCTCCAATTTGTTAGCTAGTTGCTTCAGTGCTTTTTTATCTAACTTCTCTTCATTCCATCTGTTCTTGTAAAATGGAATGGGAAATATATGAAAGAAAAATTAAATAAATGTCCCCCCGTGTGCATCCGTAGAAGAGCTCCACAAACTGAATCTGTCTTGTAGATTACGTGCATTTAACTTAGAATAGTATTGCATTATCCCTGACACTCATTTACTTGTATTTAAAAAATTAAGAGGAGAATCAGGAGCAGTAAGTAGATAAAAATATTATTTTTAAATGTGAAGCAGTAGGGGGCAATAGCACCCTGCTAGGGCACTTTCATGGCAGCAGCAGGAGCAGGCAGCCCAGTTGCTATAGCTGCAGAAGCCACTTTGAGACTGTATATATAGCTGGCAGGAGGGGATGATGGACCGCATAGAGGGATGAAGCCCTTAAAATCCTTTATTAATGTGGGGAGAAGGCTGGGCAGGGCCTCAATCAGTGAACTTTCTTTTTGGTCTCCACTCCAAACCCTAGTGTATTCAGTAGTGAGGAAGTGTGCAGGGGTACCCCCAGAGATGGGCAAGGACCCTTTCCACATCAAATATCTGTCTGTGTGAGGTGAGGCTGTTGGACACATAGAAACTCTTTTCCCAAAATGATACAACCACTCTCAGGAGTGCGTTGGCCACCAGTGAACTCTGAGTAGAGCTGCCTGCTACAGTCAGAACTACTCTCCCATCTCTGCTCCCTTTGGTGAGTTGGCTTTTGAAGTGCTGCGAGAGATGGGAGGACAGTACTAAGGGCTTTTTTCTCCTCAGTCCCCACTCGTCCTTCAGAGGGATTGAAAAAGGAGTCCTTCATTTTCAGAGTCAGGAAAAAAATAATTGTAACTGCCTTCTGAGAAAATGTATTTATCTTAATTCTGGGAAAAGATTAATATAAAAAATGGGGATCAGATAAGAACAAGAATTCTATTTCCTCACCTGACGTATTCCACAGGATCAAAAGACTCCTATTCACAGAATTTCACTATGTGGAATCTATTAGAATTTCAAAACTAGAGGTCCAAATTATTTTTGTTTTGTTGGGCAAGACATTAGATTCTTAAGAGTAAGAATACATTATCAATACATTAGAAGCAAGAGGAAGACCAAAGACAGGGTAGGCCCACTGCTTAGTGAAGAGGGAGAAACAGTAACCGGAAACTTGGAAATGGCAGAGATGCTTAATGACTTTTGTTTCGGTCTTCACCGAGAAGTCTGAAGGAATGCCTAACATAGTGAATGCTAATGGGAAGGGGGTAGGTTTAGCAGATAAAATAAAAAAAGAACAAGTTAAAAATCACTTAGAAAGGTTAGATGCCTGCAAGTCACCAGGGCCTGATGAAATGCATCCTAGAATACTCAAGGAGCTAATAGAGGAGGTATCTGAGCCTCTAGCTATTATCTTTGGAAAATCAAGGGAGACGGGAGAGATTCCAGAAGACTGGAAAAGGGAAAATATAGTGCCCATCTATAAAAAGGGAAATAAAAACAACCCAGGAAACTACAGACCAGTTAGTTTAACTTCTGTGCCAGGGAAGATAATGGAGCAAGTAATTAAGGAAATCATCTGCAAACAATTGGAAGGTGGTAAGGTGATAAGGAACAGCCAGCATGGATTTGTAAAGAACAAATCATGTCAAACCAATCTGATAGCTTTCTTCGATAGGATAACGAGTCTTGTGGATAAGGGAGAAGCTGTGGATGTGGTATACCTAGACTTTAGTAAGGCATTTGATACGGTCTCGCATGATATTCTTATCGATAAACTAGGCAAATACAATTTAGATGGGGCTACTATAAGGTGGGTGCATAACTGGCTGGATAACCGTACTCAGAGAGTTGTTATTAATGGTTCCCAATCCTGCTGGAAAGGCATAACGAGTGGGGTTCCGCAGGGGTCTGTTTTGGGACCGGCTCTGTTCAATATCTTCATTAACGACTTGGATATTGGCATAGAAAGTACACTTATTAAGTTTGCGGATGATACCAAACTGGGAGGGATTGCAACTGCTTTGGAGGACAGGGTCATAATTCAAAATGATCTGGACAAATTGGAGAAATGGTCTGAGGTAAACAGGATGAAGTTTAATAAAGACAAATGCAAAGTGCTCCACTTAGGAAGAAAAAATCAGTTTCACACATACAGAATGGGAAGAAACTGTCTAGGAAGGAGTACGGCAGAAAGGGATCTAGGGGTTATAGTGGACCACAAGCTAAATATGAGTCAACAGTGTGATGCTGTTGCAAAAAAAGCAAACATGATTCTGGGGTGTATTAACAGGTGTGTTGTGAGCAAGACACGAGAAGTCATTCTTCCGCTCTACTCTTCTCTGGTTAGGCCTCAGCTGGAGTATTGTGTCCAGTTCTGGGCACCGCATTTCAAGAAAGATGTGGAGAAATTGGAAAGGGTCCAGAGAAGAGCAACAAGAATGATTAAAGGTCTTGAGAACATGACCTATGAAGGAAGGCTGAAAGAATTGGGTTTGTTTAGTTTGGAAAAGAGAAGACTGAGAGGGGACATGATAGCAGTTTTCAGGTATCTAAAAGGGTGTCATAAGGAGGAGGGAGAAAACTTGTTCACCTTAGCCTCTAAGGATAGAACAAGAAGCAATGGGCTTAAACTGCAGCAAGGGAGGTCTAGGTTGGACATTAGGAAAAAGTTCCTAACTGTCAGGGTGGTTAAACACTGGAATAAATTGCCTAGGGAGGTTGTGGAATCTCCATCTCTGGAGATATTTAAGAGTAGGTTAGATAAATGTCTATCAGGGATGGTCTAGACAGTATTTGGTCCTGCCATGCGGGCAGGGGACTGGACTCGATGACCTCTCGAGGTCCCTTCCAGTCCTAGAATCTATGAATCTATGAATAAATCATGCAGTAATATGCTTTATGAAGCTTTATTTATGAAAAAATACAAGTGGTAAAAGCTTTTGATTTCACATAGGAAAAAGCAATCACTTATAGAGAAGGCACAAAAATAGCATAAAGAAAAACAAAGATTGCGAGACTTAAAATTTAAGTCTCATTAGTTGTCTCATTAGAATGTAGCTAATATTTGCACTTCAGTGTTTGCTTATCTTCTTTAAATGGGATGGTAAAAGCATACTCACCATATTTCTTCTTTTCTTTCTTGTCTCTATGAATAAGGAATGGGCAGAATATATCAGAATTGTGTATATTAGTTGCGCTCTATATAGTGTATATTCACAAAAATAATAGAAATAATAATTTTTTTAAAGTGTAAAGAAGAAACCTAATATTCACAGAAAAATTTCTCCAACAAAAAATTACATAGGCTAATAGCTAAGAACGATGTAAAGTATTATGAACAGGCAACATGGGTTACCAATTTTTAAAATTCCCATTTGATTTTCAGAATTTAAATCTTTATTTGCAACACCAAATTCTGTGTCTTTCTGGTATATTTCTTGCATGTAAAAATATGTTAAACATGAAACTGCTGCAATGTAACCTGCAATACATTTGAAATTCTGCAAATGTCAGAGTAATTAAATGTACTTTTATCATTGGTGGTGGTCTCTGTTAAACCAACAGAGGGCTTAGAATATTTAATTATATTTGATTAATATTTCCTTGATAAACAAAGTTGATGAAAATACCTTTTTAAAAAATGCTATGCTCCAGTTGTCAATAAAACTTAATAAGCAGGATTAGCTAGATACTATTAATATCGGTTAAATGCTATTTCTAGGCTTATTACATATTTCTCTTAGTATATCACTATGGTTACTAGCTAGAAGACAAGGAAGCAGAATTTTTGAATTCATTTGGAATTTCCTTATTGATATTGTAAGCGACAGCTTAGTCATGTGTAGACATATTTCATTGCTGTGGATTTTTCTCATATTACACTAGGGGAATGTAACATAAATACATACTATATGTAATTGCTAAGACAACTGGTTGCCCAACTTGCTAAAACAACTGGCTACCTAACGTCAAAACAGTCTGCTGAATACATGACATTCAGTGTGACAATAAATAGGCTGTTGAACTAGGGATGATGCCTTGAAAGTTGGTAAATGTCTTGGAGGGCTGTTATCTATTGTTTGCCTCTAGCTGTCATTGGTTAAACTTTTTTCTTCTATAATGCAAAAACTGAAATTTCTAATCTCTAATACCGTATCTTGCATCTTTTACTGTAAGTTATATAGAAAAAAATATTATTGTAAGGTACTCTCAGTTGAGACATTCTGACTATTCCAGAA